CTGGCATGTCTCTTAGGCTACGTTCACACTGGAGAGAGTGTGATGTCACGTTTCAGTCAGAGGGTGAACAGCCACACACAAAAAATCAGATTTACCCAAAAAAAATCGAAATTGAGCATCAAGGCCTGCAGTGTGAACGCAGCCTTAGACATCACACCAGGCCTTACCTTTTGTACTACCTACTACTGTTTAATCCTGCCTAAAAGGGGGCGGTGCCAGATGAAACAGCACAAACTGATGAGCAGATTTCTCTGGAGCTGTGCGGGTTCCCACCTGGTGAACATTCATGACACTGCGTTAGAGAGAAGTGCAGCTGTGACGTGTAAATGTGAGAAACGATGATACTGCCTTCATTTCTACCATTTTGGGTTTAAAATTCAAACTGGCACAAGTGTGGGTGACTGTTTTGTGAACAGGTTTCTTGTAATTTTACATGTTGTTGTTGTTGTTGTTATTGTTTACAGAATCTAGTTGGCCATGCTGTAGCTTTCTCCCCTCACACTGGTGCTTGTTAATTTATTTCTGTGACATTAGAGGCCAAACGTGAACAGCTTTACTCTGAAGGGCTCCAGATTCCCGTCACACAGGTTTAACTACCACAGCAAAGATATTGTTTTATTTATTATCAGCTACTGGAGACGGCATTAATCTCTTTAATCTGGAGCAAAATGCTTTACTGCAGCTGGTACAAGTTAGAAAATATATTATTTAAATATTTATTAGTTTGTACAAATGTTTGCCAAAAAGTCATCCTTCAGTATTTAAATTAATTTAAGGCTTTTAAAGATGTTGTTACTGAGCTCTGGTGATTCAAAGAGACAGTTAAACTTTAAGCATCTTTTAATGTGTGAGGCCATCACTGCCATCCCTACGTCTGTATGCATGAAAAAAAGGGAACCACATAATTGAGTTAGAGCTTTTATTTTGTTAAAAAAACCTGATCGCCTCGGTCCTTTCTGAGGTTTTTCATATCTCTGATATGGAAGTGTGTACATGCAGTGTCATATGTTATACATACTGTTACATCTTTGATATGACAACTGAGTTGCCCAATGTGAAATGTTCACTGGAATTGTTGTAACTGTTATTTTCCTTCTCATAACCCTGCTAGAGGATACTGTACGTGCCAACATAGTTGTTTTCTCTTACTAACCCTGTAAATATTGTACATCTTGTAAAAAAAGAAAAACAAGTCCAGTTTTACTTTGTCAGCATGGTTTATGGAATGTTAGTCTATCCATCATGACTGAGGCTGTAGCCAAATGTGTGACTTTTAATCCCACTGGGACGCACAAAAGCCTTGTGTACAAGCCTCCTGTGCATATGTAAATATTGTATAAAATCCTGTAAATAGTCTGTAACTGTTGACATATAATCTTTATTTGTGGCTGCAGATGGGTGAATCTGTACACTGTAATGTACTTATTTAAGTAAGAAGTGCTGCAATGGAAGATGGTTAATAAATGCTAATGAAGTGTTGTGTGAGCTATTGTCAACCCTCTTTCTGCTATGGTGAATTTCAACGTGGCGGATCTAGGATTTTTCTGGCTATGGGGCCATCAAAGGGGCCCAGTATTAGTCAGACATACTCACAATCCTAAACTTTGATAGTCATTCCATGCTGAAAGACGGACACACACAAATACAGTGTTTGAAAATTTTCAGGACAGATGAGTGATGGGACAGGGGCACTTCTGGGGGGAATTTACCATTGAATCTGTAAATTAGAATATGTTGACAATAATTGTTTGAATGCTGTAAAGCAGGGGTGTCAAACTCATTTTAGCTCAGGGGCCACATTGAGGGAAATCTAGTCCCAAGTGGGCCGGACCGGTAAATTAAAAACAACTTCAGATTGTTTCCTTTGTTTTAATACAATCAATATAAAACAAGGCTGGAGCCTGAGGACAGTGTATCCAAAATAGTACAAGTACAACACCTGAAGTGTACTTGAAAATTTGAAAAAAAAAATAAATAAATAAATAAAAAAACATTCCTTAGTGATTCAAAGAGCTTACAGATCACATGGCTAGATCAGTTTCATGCAGCACTTAAAGTATATTTGACTCATTTTACTTTACATCGTTTAGCTTTCACCAGCACATCAATATCAGAAGTCACATCCTGAGTGGCGGCCAACTTCAGGATGTGATTCAAGTTCTTGTGTGAGCCTTGAGCGCAGCTTTGTTTTATTTATACTCATTACAGAGAAAACTTGCTCACAAAGATACGTTTATTTTCACTCTACATTGTAAAGTATGAAAATAAAGTTTACACAACCATCTCGCGGGCCGGATTTAACCCGCTTGCGGGCCAGATCCGGCCCGCGGGCCGCATATTTGACACCCCTGCTGTAAAGCAATCAAACTATAGTGATCCTGTTTCTCTTTATAGTTATTGGTCTGTTTATTATGATTCTGCTTCCTCACATTTTTGGCATTTAACTACTTCCACAATTCTTAAACTACTTACACAATTTTGGTATCAAAACGTTTAGCTCGTTCAGCTTATCCCGGCAATGACATTTGGTATTAAAATATTTTATACTTTTTGAGATCTTCAGCTTTTTCTGTGATTTTTGTCCCATTGAAATGAATGGGATTGCTCAATTTTCAGCTAAATCCTATCACTTTTTTGAACTCTTACTCTTACAGTTTAACTTTAACCTAGAGACTTCATTCAAGTTTCAACAAACTCACAAGACTTTCAGCTATTACTGGTTAAACAGTCTTTTACAAATCTATTCCAGTTTTTCTAAAATCACAGGTAGAAGTTGAGGTACGGCTTGAGATTTTCAGAAAAAATCACAAATATTATAATGGGGAAAGATAGGAGCGGTGACCCTCCCTTGCTCCATTTCTAGCATTGTCCCGAGAGAACCGTAGATTCGATTGAAATGAGACGCATGCTGGCTTACAGCTTACGGATATACCTTCCTTTTGAGCTATAACTCATGAATGTACTCCAAACATTGTGGTCTTACGGTTCATTTGTTTGAGAATATTTAAATTAAAAAAAAAGCTTCCCACCACTCTAAACTGAAAATTTCGCACTCTAACTTTTGACCTTCACATTTTCTGGAAACAACTCTTTCCAACACCCAGACTGTTTGGAGTACCGAAACAAATTATATCTCAAAAAGTAGGGATTTTTGTCAGCTTTTTAGAACGGGTTTCATTTTATCTGTAAGTGTTACCGTTCTTTCTCTACAAGCCTCAGAAGGAGGAGAGACCCTGATTCTGCCTCATTGAAACCCATGTTAAAGGAACAGAGATTTTCTCCTCCGATCGGCTTCAGACAGCTAAAATGTTCATGTCATAGCTTTTAGACAATTCGTGGTAGGCACATAAAAATTCACTCAGATGACCATCAAAGCCTTCTGCCACTCACGCTTTTTGAATTTTTCAATTCGGTGCAGTACTTTTCGAATGGTGATGAGAAGTTTGACAGGTCCAATTTCACTTCTGAAGGCAGGGACTGCCCCCTCCTCCTTCGCTGCTCTCTCATTGGCTGAGAGTTTTCAATCGTCTTCTGTCTAAAAGGAAATATGCACCCACACATATGATACATCAATTCAACCTGCTTGGTCCCAGGAGTCTTGTATTAACTTGATATTGTGTTCTGCGTTGCCATGGCAACGTGCTTAGCAACAACATTTTAGACACAACTGTATCAACATACTTTAATATAGAAATGTTATTCAAAGTTTAAAAGAGTCATGTGACATTGTGCATTGCTTTATTAAAGTAGAATCCTGTCATCTGTTACCATGGCAACACAAGGAACTATAAATCACTTTAGCCAAGTCTCATAGGAATGAATATAAAAAGCTGAATATTGAGCCAATACCAGACTCCTGTTTTTGATCTTTTTGAACTATCTGTACTTAAAACTAGAAACAAGTTATATTTGATTGACCGTCAGAAGGTGGGAAAGTGCCCCGCTCCCTCCAAGCTCCCTGATTGGTTGAGAGAGGTCAATCATCTTCTGGCTAAATGGACTTACACTCCCACACATGTGGGACATCAAATCGATCGGCCTGGCCTGAGGAATCCATCCATCCACATATAAATCCATACATGCTTCCATCCATCCATCCATCCTGTCATGTTCCCGAGCCGAGGTGAGTGACACCATCTCCACTCTAACTGTGATTGAGCTTATTTCCCACAGGTGAGGAGCGGAGGGGGCGGCAGCTGCTGGAGATTCCAATCAGGAACTCGGGTTTAAAAGGAGGATGGAGACACCTCACTACGCCGGATGATTGCACCAGTTTAGGTAGCCCCAGCCAATTGTCTTGTACTCGTTTGTTAGCTTTGATTCACTCTTGGATACTTGGATTTTGACCTCGGACTGTATTTGTGGATTACGTTTTGGATTACCCCTTACGTCTGGTGTTTGTTTCCCTTCCCTCAGGATCCTCACACAACCTGCTTCACGCTCGCTGTCTTCGAAGTCAGGATTTCTTACACCGTGTCCCATCCTCCTCCGTTGTTCTTGTTTGGTTCCTCTCTGCTACCTCACCCATCCCGGATCGCTCACCCTCTGCCCAGCACTCACCTCGGCTTCCCCTCCTCCCTCGTTCACCCTGAGCGCTACATGGACTCGAGCTGCACCACTCACTCCCACAGGACTTCCCAGTGCTATTTTTGTTCCCGTTTTTGAATAAAGACCTTTTCTTTTTACTCAACCTGCTCGATGAGTCTGATTCTGCATGTCTTGGGTTAGGCACTTACCTCGAGTCATGTCACAAACATTCATCCATCCATCCAACATCCATCCAACAATCCATCCATCATTTCATTTATCCAACCATTCATCCATCCCATATCAAATCTGAACAAATGTTAATCTATCAGTTTTAGATATCAGCGAATGTTTCTAAATTCACAGTTCAGCCAATTGTAAAAATACCCATTAAACTATTCTCATTCAAACATGGACGTAATTTTGGGGGGGGACAGGGGGGACATGTCCCCCCCACTTTTTCCAAAGTCAAGTTTTGACCCCTTCACTTTTTACCATCCAAAATCAATATTACACTATATTAAATTGACACTGGTTGAGCTCTAGGACCAAGCAGAAAACAACCATTTGTGTTGAAGCCTGCTTCCCATGAGAACATACTGTAAAGATACCCCCCAGCCCCGTGTCCCCCCCACTTCTAAAGTGAAAATTACGTCCATGCATTCAAATGCCAGCTGTTTAACATTTCAACTTTTGAGTTTTCAATCAATGTTCAAAGATTTAAGTTTTCTGCTGTTTAGCATTTTTTTATCCATTCTTCACCTATATTCTGAGCTTTATTACACTTGTTGGTGATTTTTGCTTCTAAATCTTTAAATTCATTCAGCTCATTTTGACAGTTTAGCTTAGTTTCAGCTTCACTTCAGCTATTCAGCAGCTTCAGCAATCCGTTTCTGAATTCAGCATGTGATGCTAATTTCACAGTTCAGCTAAATGTAAAAATTAAACAGTTAAACTAGTCCTACTGAAATAGCAGGTGTTTAGACATTTTAGCTGTCCAGTTTTTTAAACAATGTTCACAGATTTCAGTTTTCTGCTATTTAGGATTAGTTTTCTTGATTCTTCACTTACTTTTTGTGCTTTTTTTGCTACTTGGTGCTTTTTGCTTTCACATCTTTTACTACATTCAGCTCATTTGTCAGTTTAGCTTAGTTTTAGCTTCACTTCAGCTATTCAACAACTTTAGCAGTTACCAAATTTAGCATAAGCTGCTAATTTCACAGTTCAGCTAAATGTAAAGATTAAACTGTTAAACTTGTCCAACTGAAATAACAGGTGTTTAGACACTTTAGCTGTCCAGATTTTTATACAATGTTCACAGATTTCAGTTTTTTACTATTTAGGATTAGTTTTCTCGATTCTTCACTTACTTTTTGTGCTTTATTTGCTTGTTAGTGATTTTTGCTTCTACATCTTTCAACACATTCACCTCATTTTGACAGTGTTGCTTACTTTCAGCTTCATTTCAGCTATTAAGCTGGTTCAACTAACAGTTTAAGCTATCCAGCATTCAAACAGCATTTCTGCAAGAAATGCAACTTGTCTAGTTATTTTAAATATTAAATTCAACCACTAAAGCTAAACCAATAGAAGAAATATTGATTCGAACTTGATATAAATACAAAAATACTTCAAATTAAATTATAGCAGGGCAAAAAACAAAGGCTTTGAATTTAATTGTTTAAACTAAATTGCTAGTAAAATATAAAATATTCAAAATCATGACGATCATAGAATAACTAACTCCTTTATAACCTAAGTCCCACAGCATTGACTTTTAGGTAAACGCATAGACTGTACATACACATAGACTGTACATAAACGTTAACCCATACTGCCACCTAGTGTTGGGTTTCATAGTCCTGAAATAATTTAGAAGTATGATTAAATGTTAGAAGAAATTGCCAAATTTAAAAATAACCCATTTCACACTGTGTGGACGATGACTTATCTTTTTAATAATACATTTTCAAAATCAGTCACAAATTTAGATTTACAACACATCACAGTCTCAACTGTGTTATTACACTTGATCTTAGCCAAAAGGCCGAGAAGCGATTATTACCTTCATAGAACATATAAAGCATGCAACGATTCATAGTTTTATAAATTAAATGTCAATTTTATTCAAAACATACATTTCATTATTAATGTGATACGAAACCGCTGCTTTTATTTTGAAAACTCGCTCCGGAACCGGAAGTGTTTCCTTTATCTCGCTTATAAAGCGACAGAGAGCAAAATAATCTCTGCGAAATCTTCGTGTATTCAATCGGAGCGTCCTAGGATTCGTGGTTACAGCCCCGTACATAGGCCGTCAAAACACCCGAAAGAGGAGTTTATTTGACTGACGGCGACAGCTGCGTGTTGCTGGCTGTTGTAATGGCTGCCAACCCACCAGGCTTCCCGAACAAGGCCCGCGTGGCGATCTTGGCCGAGTTGGACAAGGAGAAGAGGCGGTTGCTGCAGAGCCAGTCCATGAACAACCCCGGAGCTAACATCCCGCTGTCCTCCCGGAGCAGCCTGAAGGAGGTGAGGGACAGCGCGGAGCAGCAGCACATCGCCGCCCAACAGAAAGCCGCTCTGCAGCACGCTCATGTCCACTCCTCCGGCTTCTTCATCACCCAGGACTCCTCGTTTGGGAACCTCATCCTCCCGGTTCTGCCCCGGCTGGAGCCTGACTTTTAACCCCGGCTGAACCCGGAGGCCGTGGTCCGTCCAAGTGAACTCACGACGCAGGACCCAGATCCGTTCCCCACTGAGAACATTTAGGAACTTCCACAGAAAGGAAATAAAAACAGCTGGTCATTAATGTGGAGACCTTAAGACATTGAACTACATCAGTGTTAGTTTCTCTTCCCCTGAATTAACTGTAACTGCATCAAATAAATGTCTAAAGACATTTTGAACACGTTTTATCCCAAACAGAATAACTTGTAACACCAATAGAAAATATATATTTTTACGCTTATTTAGCGTTTTGTGGTATTTTGTTTTGTTACTTATGGAAAAAAAAAGTGAAGCATTCACGTTTATTCAAACCATCTACACCATTTGTTCAATTTTTAATATGTGCCAGGGGCGATTCTAGCGTCAAGTCAAGTTTATTTATAAAGCGCCAAATCATGACAAGAGTTGTCTCAAGGCACTTCACATAATAAACATTCCAATTCACAGTTCATTAAGCCAATCAGAAATAATGTGTCCTATATAAGGAACCCAGCAAATTGCATCAAGTCACTGACTAGTGTCAGTGACTATACAGCAATCCTCATACTAAGCAAGCATGCAGCAACAGTGGAGAGGAAAACTCCCTTTTAACAGGAAGAAACCTCCAGAGAATCCCGGCTCAGTATAAGCAGCCATCCTCCACGACTCACTGGGGATCGAGAAGACAGAGCACACACACACGCACGCACGCACACACACACGCACACGCACGCACGCACACACACACATACACACACACGTAATGTGTCTATAGTTATATTGTGATGTCTTAGTAAATATTGTATTTGGTGAAAGATCAACTTTATTGTATATATGCTAGTGGATCTATAATTAAACAGATAAACTAGTATTAGCACATTAAAAGTCAATGAAAACAAAAAGTTATTATCAGGAGAGGGCGTCAGAGGTTTAGGGGTGCATCAGTAACCTTTTGCCAAATGTTGTTTTGCATTGTCTATCAAACCCTTAAAAGATCGTAGAAAATAAAGAACAGAGTTACCCCTTTTTAAAAGAGTTTTTAGTTTTTGCATAAATGCTGCTACTAGAGCTAAGTACTTAGATTAAAGTTTTTATTTTCATTTAATTTTAAAAGGTCTGCCAGAAGAACCAAACTTCAAACTGACGTGATTAAAAACACCTTAAAATGTGATAAAATTGCAAAAACCAAATTTTATTTTTTACAGTGTATCATATTTTTCAAGCGTGCATTTATAAGTCACGGAGTCAGTTGAGATCACCAGTAAATCTTAAGATAATTGCTTTTAGAGTTTGTAGTGCTCTCAGGCCCTGTCCACACGTAGCCGGGGATCTGCCAAAACGTAGATATTTTTCTACCCTAATCTATTAGATTCAGAACAATCCCGTTTTTAGAAATTTTTCGCATACAAATACATTTCTAAACAAATTCTAAGGACAGCTTGTAGGGTCTCACCCTCACATTTACAAACATCTCAGATATCTAGGTACTGCTGTTGTCCGGTGTACTATCTGTGCTACTCATCGATATGTGCTACTTTGGGGAAATGCACACACCCATTACTACATCGCAGGCTGTTAACCTGAAAAGGCGCTACCTCTGGAAGTTGTTATATAAAAGTGATAAAGTGATGAATAATTTGATGCCAAAACAAATTCAGGATCTGTTCCAGATCAGAGAGAGTGTTTATGATCTCAGAGGGTATAAAATGTTTACACAGCCTAAAGTAAGAACTAAAATGAAACAACTTTGTGTTTCTTGTGTTGGGGTTGATGTGTGGAATAAATTAGACCAGGAGCAAAAAGATTGTTCAACAATGGTAAAGTTTAAGGGTATGTTTAAATCAAATGTGATTAAATATTATGAATCAAGTCAATGAAAAAATGCATAAAACATTAAAGGTCATTATTTTTTTATAAAGCTAGAATGGGGATTTGAATATATTCCCATACATTTCAAACATGATGTAAAAATTATGGAATCGGTATACTATTCTAAAATTTTGTTTAAGTTCAAAGGGTTTGGGGGGCTGGGCTTATAAGCTCATGCTTCTGCCTGCGCCCGTTCTTAGCATTGTGTAAGTTGTGTGTTTGCTTGTAAACCTGCAAATGTTTCTTTGTTATATTATATTGTACTATTGATTTTAATTTCTCATTAAACTTCTCATTAAACTTCTCAAAATATATATATATATATTACTGCTTGTTTTATGTTTACCTGACACTTAGCTAAACAAGACAGTTCTCCCATTGTTTACCGTCATTCATGGAATCATGACAAACACGGTCTTTTTCATAAATAAGTCATGACAACCTGTATATTTTTGCTAATAATTATACTACAGTTCTGTATTTTTGAGTAATATCACCTATATTTAAAATAAACCGTGCTGAAGTGTTTACTACACTGTAAACAAGAGCAAAACTCATAACACGCTGCAGAATATTCGACGAGGAAGCACGGATAGTCAGGACACTGGCGACCACTAAGTCATCTTCATGACTTATGACAACACCACCAGCTGCACAACCAGTCCTGCAGGCTTTCAACCTCACCGATAAGTCATCCATGTACGGGTTAAAAGGAAGAGGACATATAATGCCTCCTTTTCTGTAACATTTGCTGACCATACCAATAGGATGCGTATAATATATTTTGGAACACCTCTTTACAGCAGCTTTATGAATAGTTTCCTATGTTTAACTGTCAAATGCCTTGGCTGCATCTATGAAGCACATAGAGACCAAGGAGTTCTGGTTTCTGTAT